GTTGAGAAAACTGTTATTTTACTTCTCTTTTGGTGTTGATTTTTGGTTTTAATTTTTTTTTTAACTGAGCATTTACTGTTCATCAGAGCTGCGTCCAAACACTGGAGCCCACAGTAGAGCACATAGCCATCCTTCGTGTCCGCGTGGAGCCTTGTCCCCAGTGTGAGCATTGGGCACCCAGGAGATGGCTGGGCTGGGGGCAGAGAAGGGCGACTGTCCCGTCGTCCCCATGCCTGGGCGGTGGGACCAGAGCTGCTGTGCCCGGCTGAGCGCTGCCTGGCCGGTGATGCTGCCTGGTGGGTTTTCTGGTTGTATTTTCTAGGCGAGGTTTGCAAAAGGTCACAAAAATTAATCTTCTAACTGGGGACCTTGGCACTGCGCGGAATGAATGTTTTGCATTAACAACCTAACTCATTAATTCACTGAAACATTTAAAACCAAACCAGTTATATCCAGCCAAGCTGGAAAAAGCTGAAAGTTCATACTCAGCAGTGCAGATTTCGAAACCTCCCTTTGTTAATCTCTGCAGAAGTAAATTTTCTGAAATTGCTAAGCTCACTTTGACCGGTCTCAGCATTGTTTTCCTCAGCGGAGGCAAAGCTGCTCTGCAGAGGGTTAGCGGTGTGTACCTGGACCCGCCGGTGGGGACGGGAAGGCTCCAGTGCTGGGGAGGAAGGAGGGCTGGTACGGGAGGTGTTGCAGGAGGGGAATGCTCATAGCAGCATTGTAGGTTTTGGGCAGTCTCTAGCAGAAATGCTGCACCATTTTCATAGATTGGGACTCCAGATTTAACAGTTTGCATCTTCCTCCTCTATTATGTTCTGAATTGCTAGGGGTAGTTGTAATCACAGCCTAGCACGTCTTGTGGTGCTCCTTCTACTTGTTTGTAAGCTGGAGGTGGGTCACTGGCGTGTGGCCTTTGTGGGCCTCCTACCCGGAGGAGAGCCGGGCAGACCCGGGCAGTGCAGCAGCCTGCAGTTCCCCTGCCCTCGCCGCTGGCTCCGAGTACGGGGCTTGTCACTTCTGAGCCGCAACCCTTGAGAAACTGATGGATGGCCACCAACCTGGCTGTCCCTGTAGTCACGATGTGGTGACAACAGCGTAAAACTGCATCTACCAGTGGAGCAGAGCTTTCCCGTGGTGATTTTTTTAATTGTTTTAAGCTGGGAGCTGTGCAGACAAGCAATCATGGCCGTACATCAAGGATGGGGAGCCACAACCCAACCCAAGCCGTTCACCTGGGTTCGTGCCTGCCTTGTGCAAAGGTCGGGCTGCTCTGCCCTGCCCTGCCCTGCCCTGTCACAGGAGCGGGGTGCGCACGGTTGTCTTGCTGTCGTGTGAGCGAACACACATCAGCCCCAGGGTCAGCTCCTGGTGCTTTAGGTATGGGAGAAACGTACCCCCAGCCACGTGCTGGGCTGGGATCTGACCCGGCCAAAGGAGCCCTTTGGGCTGCTTTTCCTTCCAGCATTAGTTTCTCTGGGAGCATCACTGGGACCGAATCGGTTTGACTCTGCTTTAGGTCAGTTTTCCCTCAAATTTCCAACAGCAGTGGCAGGTTTAGGTGCATAGGTCATTTGACCTGCTTACTCTGCTACCTCGCTATTAAATTAGCAGGTATAAATTAAATAGGAACCATGAATTTAAGTACAGTCTCTTTGTCTTCCTGGCTGTCATGTAGCTATTCCATTCAGCTAATGTCTCTTTGCTCCAGTTAATCATAAAATAATACATGGCTGTGCAGATTGGTCTGAGGCATTTGCAGTGGTGGAATACTGAGCTCCGTTGTAAGGCTGTTTTTTAATTGATTAATTTTTCTGCCATTAATTTACCCTATCCATTAAGCCTCACTTACTTTAATGATGGAGAAATCGGTGAATTACCCATTCTGTTATATATTAGTGGTGTATTAAAGTATTAGTGCATTCCATAAGGTGAGCAGTGAATAAAACATGCTCCGAACATGTGGTTATGCAACTGTTCCATGGAAATGAAACGGACAAACAGTACACTTGATTAATTTTTTTTTCCCAGTAAATTAGCACTGTGATTCACTTCAAGCTAAATTTGCAATCTGTGTTCTCAGGTGGCATTAATATTGGAGCCCCAGCAGGAGAGCTGTGGCAGCTGGGGCCGCTTTGATTGCATTTTTAACGAGAGTTGTTGGAGAGAGCACAGAGCTTGATGCAAATGTGCTGGTAAATGAAATGCAGAGCTTTTAGGTTCTCCATAGGTGGGTCAAGCCTTTCACATTTACCCAAAATAATAGTGATGGCGTGCTCGGGAGAGGCACTCCGTTAACGTGGCACAATGGGGGTCTTTGTGTGTCTCTGTTGCTCTGTATCAAATTTACTCTGTTGACAGATAAAAATCATCTTTTTGATATCTGATGATTCCATAAACACTAGGTAAGAGCTGTCTGGGACTCGAGCTGTCTCAGTAATGGAGACTCTGGAACTGGATCTCTGTCAGGAGTTTGCTGGAAATGAAAAAGCTTGCAGAAGGCCCGGCAATTTCTCCCTGGGCTGTGTTAGAGCTGCAGAATAAAATTAAGTAAGAATTCCCTTTTACCGTTGCTTCCCTGACACGAAACTCCTTTCAGCCTTTAAAGCTATATTTTGTAGCCTTCAGGCTGGTCTTATTGTTTTTTTCCTAATTGACTCGACTTGGAAAGGTCATCGTACCCTGCTAGATTGTGTAATATTTAACTTAGCATCAAAAATGAGGATCTTGGGATTGGTGTCAAATGGATGCTGTTCCCCTCTGAATAGCAAAGCCCATTCATAGTCATCCAAGTATTCGACTTGCTAATGCTAATGAATAACTTTCTGGCCCTCTGCAGAGGGAAAGACTAACCACGAAAAGGTGGGATGAGAGTCGCATAAAGCAGGTATTAGAGAGCATGCAATTCGCACTAAATCAAGATCACAGCTTTAATACCTTTTTTATTTATAGATTTTTTTTTTAAAGTTATAATTTCTAGCTTTTCACGACGCTTTAGCATAGCAAACAGTCTTTTCTGATGCCAAGTTCAGTGATGACTAACACTATTTACAGGACTGTTTTGTAATCTCAGATCAGCCCACATTAACGGGAAGTTACGTTTTCCCATCAGTCTTTTAAACGGTGCCTGAGAGTTGCTGAGGCCAGAGTCGGCCATCTAGGCTCTCCTGTTTGGAAAAAATAATGTCAGCTTTCAGAACAATTTTTTTAAAGATTTTTAATGAAGTTAAAGAGGTCAAATTGTACTTCCTCCATTTGATTTTTTTGCATTAGGACCTTTCATTCCTCTGTTCTAAAAGCTACTGACAAAAATAAGCAGAGGAGGTATTGCATAAGCACCACAAAGTCATTTGCCCGATCTGCATTTCTCAGTGCATGAGATCAGCTCAGAATATCTGATACGAGAAAGCTACTGGTGTACAACTGCTGTAACTGATAGGAGTTACCTCTGTGAGTCATCTGGTAGGATGGTAAGTTGGTCTTTTTTTTTTTTAAGTTCAAGTTTTTATGAGTGTCTTTATAAAGCTCTGTTGCTGTTACTGTAAATCCCAGGAAAATTTGGCACAGAGTCTTTGTAATATGAATCAGTGCATCCATATGCTTCCAAGTGACCTTGCAATCTCTGTGTTTAAAAGAAAAAAAGCAGAATTGCTGTATAAAAGGTTGACAGAGGGCTTAAGGCAGAGATGTTGCTCCCTCAGATGTGCTGCCTTCCCTGTCATCGGGACCCGTCACCAGGTGAGTGACTCCTGGTGCCAGCTACAGCAGACAGCTTTACTGCTCTCAGGTCGTGATCTCAGGCACGGAGCATCCGCTGTGCAGATGGCAAAGCTACATCAGGCCAGGAGTAAGGTTGTGGCTAATGCCCTGGCCTTCCACAGGCTGGAGCAGTTGGGGAACTGCTTTAGCTTCAGGGTAAAAAAAAAAAGAGAAGAGAAAAAATTGTTCCTTTCTTTTTTCTTTTTTTTTCTTTTTTTTAAATGTAACAGATTTCTGGTCACCCCAAGCCCAGAAAAATGGGCTTGTGTTGCAGAGAAATTACACTTTCTTAGGAAATACCCCCAGTGCACTGAGTTGTGTGAATGCCAGAAGCTGCAAAGGTGGTGGGAGGGGAAGGCTGGGAGCCAGGAACATGTGTGATACTGCCCTTGAGTTTTGGGGCCCTACCTTCTCTTGCAGCTCCAGACAAAGACTCAACAGGTGCTGTTAAAACAGTAATGAAGTGTGCATGGGGTGGGGAGGGAGTCTCACAAATGCATTGCAGGCTTGCTGAGCGAGGAGGGCTAAAATACGTGGACCTGGCTGCAGCCTTCTTGCTCCCTGCAGCAGAGCTCCAGGTGTCTCTGCAGGCAGAGGCCCTTGGCACAGGCACGGTGCTTTGAGCTGGCGAGAAACTTCCTGACAGGATGGTTGGAAAATGCCGATTTTGAAGAAATCGAAACGTTCTGTGGGGAATGTGTAAATTTTTCGTCAGGTTTTTCTGATGGAAAGCAGGTGGTTTTCCCAGGGTGACTGTGCCGCTGAGCTGGGAGCCCGGGCACGCAGGGAGCCCAGGCATGGTGATGGGTCGTGGCAGGGTGAGGGGAAATTTTGGCATTTTTCCTCCTCAGATGAGAATTTGATGCAGGCTGTAAACGAGGCATGTTTGTGTGTTTGTTTTTAAACGGGTAATTCACAGGTTTTATGTGTGAAAATACAGTAAATCCAAGGTCAAGGTAAATTTTTCCAGCGAAAGAGGCTGAAAATGATTTATCGAGTGAGACAGTTAAATACCAGGACGGTTGTGCTTTGTCTAATGCCAAGGGAACTAACCCCTCCTCCCTCTCCTTGTCCTCAGGTTCAGTGGCAAATATGAACATTTGTCAACATTTGACAACAACTCCTTGGGACACCATGAATTTGCTGGAATCTAGACCACAGAGCACCTGCAATAGCGCTTTTTAAATTTTAATTTCATTTAAGTGAAAGAAGAATAATCATCTGGATCAATTGTAGTGATGGCTAGCAAAAGAAAATCCACAACTCCCTGCATGATACCAGTAAAAACACTGGTGCTTCAGGAGACTGAACTGGACGCTGTAGAAAATGATCGTGAGGGAACGCAACAAGATGCTCCTGCAGAAGGGCCAGCAGCTAATGATGCTGGTGCCAGTAACAGTAATAACGGAGCTTTGTCTAACGGGCACCGCGGTATTGCTGATAGTGACACTTATATCTGCAAGTTTTGTGACTTTGGATCTCAAGATGTTCATCACTTCTTTGGGCACTTGGACTCTGAGCACTTAGACTTTAGCAAAGACCCTGCGTTTGCATGTGTTGCATGCAACTTTCTGGCAAATAGCCATGAAGGGCTCTCGCACCACAATGTAGAGTCGCACGCCGGCGAAACGAGCTTCATCTGGAGGGTGGCTAAGCAGGACAATCGTACAACTGTGGAGCAAAGTCTCTGTGAGGCCACCAGCAGCCATGACCTTCCAGGAGAGGTCCCTGAAGAAGGGGTGGATGGCCAGTCTGAAATTATTATTACCAAAACGCCCATCATGAAGATAATGAAAGGTAAACCGGAGGCCAAGAAAATTCACACGCTGAAGGAGAATGTATCAAGTCAGCTGGGCAGTGAGTCGGAGGTGAAAGATGGAGAGCATTCATTCCCAAATGGGTCTGTGCCGGTCAGCCAGCCCACTGCAAGTTCGACAAAGTCATCTCATACAGTGAATGGCTCCATCATAGGAAATGTGCCTGTTCTGCAGGCAGGTGTTGCACAACTTGTGTCGCTGCAGCAGCAACCCCCGTTGCATCAGCAGCTACCTACGTCCAAGTCCCTTCCCAAGGTGATGATCCCCCTGAGCAGCATTCCAACGTACAATGCTGCCATGGACTCCAACAGCTTCCTCAAAAACTCTTTCCACAAGTTCCCCTACCCCACAAAAGCCGAGCTCTGCTACTTGACCGTGGTGACAAAGTACCCAGAAGAGCAGCTGAAGATCTGGTTCACTGCCCAGAGGTTGAAGCAGGGCATCAGCTGGTCACCGGAGGAGATCGAAGATGCCAGGAAGAAGATGTTCAACACCGTTATTCAGTCCGTGCCGCAACCCACCATTACAGTTTTGAACACGCCGCTGGTTGCAAATCCCGGGAGCGTCCCCCATCTTATTCAGGCGACTTTACCAGGCCACGTGGTGGGGCAGCCAGAGGGGACGGGGGGACTGCTGGTCACGCAGCCCATCATGGCAAACGGGTTGAAGGGCACCAGCTCCTCCTTCACCTTGGCGGTGACTTCTGTCCCCAAGCCGC